TTTTCTTCATAGTACTTAAAGTACTTCAAATTACACTTAATTATTTACTAGAGGCCCGGTGCACGAAATTTGTGCACGGGGCAGGGGGGGTCCCCTCAGCCCAGCCTGCACCCTCTGGAATCTGGGATCCCTCTCACAATCTGGGACCGCTGGCTCCTAAGTGCTCACCTGCCTGCCTGCCTGATTGTCCCTAACTGCCCCCACTGCCAGCCTGATCACCCCTAACCGCCTCTGCCTGCCGGCCTGGTCGCCCACAACTGCCCCCCCTGTCGGCCTGGTCGCCCCAGGCAGCCTGCTGTTCAGTCATTTGGTCGTCCCTCACTAACCCCCCAGGCAGCCTGGTTGCTCCACGCAGCCTGCTGTTTGGTTGTTACTGTGATGGAGTCCTGGAAAATTTGCATATTCCTCTATTATTAATATAGATATGTTTACTAGAGGCCCACTGCACGAAATTCATGCACAGGCATGGCCAGCGATCAGGGCTGATCAGGGCCTTCCACTGCCGGACAGAGCATTCCTTCTGGCTGCTGGCCGGTGCCTTCCTTTGTTCCGTGCCGCCCCTTGTGGTCAGCACACGTCATAACGAGTGATCAAACTCTGAGTCTCCCAGTCGAACTCTCAAGGGGATGCTTTACATTTTAGCCTTTTATATATATAGATTGTTTCTCTCCACACCTCCTGAAGTGTGAGCCCTTAAAGATGGGATCATGTTTCTCTTTTTACCCAATACATTAGTGCTCAGAACAGTGCCTGATATAGAATAGAGCCTGAGGCTCTGAAATGTGTGGTGATTGACTCATTTGGAGTCTTATCTCATAGAACTTCCTTACTGTCCCCTATGTTTCAGGTTACTATACTTGTCTCTTTTGAAAATGCCATGCTGCTCCCAACTGAGGACTCTTGCATCTTCATTTGTGCGTTCCTAAGTCATACTCATCCTTCAGATAGGAGTCACTTAGAGTGGGCTTCCCTGACTTCCATTCTAGGTTAGGATACTCTGTAATATGTCCCGTCCATATCACCCTATCCTTTTTTATAGTAGTTATTACAGTTAAAATTATTTATAAGCTCTTTTTATGTAGGAAACAAGATTTTCCCATCAAATAACACCAGAAAAATTTGGTGACAGTACTTCCTTATTATCATCTCCTTCCACCTCAATAGACAATATAATTACCCTCATAGAGCATTCAGTCCTGCTTTAGGTTCTGTGCACTGACCCAGATTTTTCTTTATGTGAAACAAATTACTAAAACCTTGAAAAATCTTTCTAGCATCAGTGCCAATGTGTCATTTAAGACTAATTATTGGGTATTTCCAAGGTAAGATTTCTTTTATTGGGATTTGTCAGATCTTGCACTGAGATGAAAGCTAACCAGTTTTCTTCTCTTGAATTTGCTTTTCTAGTGAAGCATTAATGGAGAAACTTCAGTTCTATCAAAATAGCTAATGTTTATATAATACTTTAGAGTTTATGAGTTTATCTCATTCAGTGCTCACAACAATTCTAGGAAGAGGTGGGATCCCCATCTGTAGATGTAGAAACTGAGAAATGAAGAGGCTGAATGAGTTGTTCAGGGTTTAATAACTAATAAGAGGCAGAGCTAGGACTCAAGCCTTGGTCTTCCAATTCCAAATCTTGTGTCTTCTCCACTATCCCATATTGCCTATAACTTTTCTTCTTTTGTTTTAAAGCCATCATGTTTTGTGATCACCTAAAAATGGGCTGAGAGTCTGTCCCTTCATCTACAAGATTCCATCAACTTAATAGTTACAGGGACATAGAGTTGCCATCCATGACTGCAGTCTTCATGTTGGAAAATAACCTTGTGAAATCTTTGAACCACTACTACTATGTGGTTGTTTTTTTTAAAAAAATATTTTTATTGATTTCAGAGAGGAAGGGCGAGGGAGAGAGAGAAACGTCAGTGATGAGAGAGAGTCATTGATCGGCTGCCTCCTGCATGCCCCCTACTGGGGATCGAGTCCACAACCCGGGCATGTGCCCTTGACCAGAATCAAACCTGGGACCCTTCATTCCTCAGGCCATCGCTCTATCCACTGAGCAAAACCAGCTATGGCACTATGTGGTTGTTTTGGATTATTTTGTGTAATCTTTATTTCAGATGAGATAATTCATGTATGGTGTTTGTTTCTGAAGTGGGCAGCCAGCAATTAACAGGAATAGGCCCCAGCTAGAAGAGGGCTGTTTTCACTTCTTTCAGGAGCGCAGTACATGAAGTTTCTTTTCTGGATTGTCATTTCCAGCAAATGTCCTTCATTTCCTTTGCTCTCATGCCCCAGCCCTCAGTCTGCGGGGATAGATAATTGTATGTTAGAACCCTCTGAATAATTGAAATCTAATTTTTTGTGACAGCAACCTAAGTCTCACTAGTTGGACTCTCTGCCTACTTAGAAAAGTCGTCTATAACCCAAAACACCATCAATCTAGCCTGGGTACCTGCTATGTCTTGGGCATGGAGAATCAGCAAGATTTTTCTCAGGACATGAACAGTATTTCCCCTTTGGTAACTGCAGTTGGCACCAACTATTTCTCTTCACTTTTGACTGCAATTCTAGTCTAAATAGTCTACTAGGCTCTGGCTCCAACCTCCGGTCATTCTAATCCCAAGCAGCTGAGATCAGACACTGGGATATCTCTTTACTGGCAGCCCTAGGCTTGAACTTTGGAAATTGTGGGAAATTCCATTTTTTGGGCACATAGGTCTTCTGGCTCCACCATATATGAGTTTTCCCTGCTGAGTAGAAATGGTATCAGTAATATAGAGTAAAGAATAATGAAAATAGTCCTTTATGTGAGGATAACATTTTAGTACTTACAAAATGATTTTATATTTATTATTTTTTTTCCTTTATAATAATCCCAGGAAACAGAGTGGAAAAGTGGTTAAGATCAAGTCTGGATTTATACTGTCTCAGTTTGAATTTTATTTCCAATATTCAAAGCTATGGAGGTTACTTCATCTCTCAGTGTCTGTTTCCTCATCTGTCAAATTTAGACTACTTATCTCATAGGCTGATTATGAGGATTGAGATAAGAAGGCATGAAAAAAAAATTGGTAATTATTGTATAAACTAGAGGCCCAGTGCACGAAATTCGTGCACGGGGGTATGTGTCCCTCAGCCCAGCCTGCACTCTCTCCAGTCTGGGACCCCTCTCACAATCCAGGACTGCTGGCTCCCAACCACTCACTTGCCTGCCTGCCTGCCTGATTGTACCTAACCACTCCCCTGCCAGCTGATCGACACCTAACTGCTCCCCTGCTGGCCTGATTGCCCCTAACTGCCCTCCCCTATTGGCCTGGTCACCCCTAATTTCCCTCCCTTGCCAGCTGGGTCGCCCCCAGCTGTCCTCCCCTGCAGGCCTGGTTGCCCCTAACTGCCCTCCCTTTCAGGCCTGGTTCCTCCCAACTGCCCTCCCCTGCTGACCATCTTGTGTCCACATGGGGGCGGTCATCTTGTGTGTTGGAGCGACGGTCAATTTGCATATTACTCTTTTATTAGATAGGATAAGAAAACCAAAGCCCAGAGAAGCTAAGTACTGACATTGGAGCTGATATTTAAACCTAAATTGTTCTTACTTTGTGCCTGTTCTCTCTACCTTATCTCTGCTTCCTCTGAAATCAATACCTTGCATTGTATAAAGGTAGCTTTAAACTTCAACAATGGACCTCTTACTCTCATTATTTATTATTTCAACTTCTATATGAAGAGACAAAAAGTGCAGGGTTTATTATCTCTATAAAGAAAAAAGAGGCACAGAAAAATGGTAGTGACTTTCTAGAACATCACAGTGTGCTTGATTCCTAGCTCTGAGCACATACCAATTGCCTTTTGGAGGAGAAGAGACATGCCATCCTTTTTCCATCTCTTCTCTTTCCTGAGTTTCCCGTAGAGGATTTTTTAAAAATATATATATTTTATTGATTTTTTACAGAGAGAAAGGGAGAGGGATAGAGAGTTAGAAACATCGATGAGAGAGAAACATCAATTCAGCTGCCTCCTGCACACTCCCTACTGAGGATGTGACCGCAACCAGGGTATATGCCCTTGACCGGAATCGAACCTGGGACCCTTCAGTCCACAGGCCGACGCTCTATCCACTGAGCCAAACCAGTTACGGCACCGTAGAGGATCTTAAGTGGGCAGAGATTCTGGACTAGGAAAACTAAAACAAGTGAGTGCTAGGAGGATAGTAGACACTTGTGGCACAGTGCAGTCTCCCAAGTGAAGAGGAAGAGTGATTGAGAGGGAGGGAAGGTGAGGCATTCCTCAGCACCATTGGGAAATGTTGGTGTACATCCTTATTTGCTGCACTGGCTGTGGCAGGGAGGTGTGCTCCTCTCTTAACTGCATGTAAAATTAATAGCAGAGGTCTTCCTAATTTTGCCACTTACTGGTATATCATTTAGATTGTTTCATTATTTCACTTGAGCCCTGTTCACATTGGCCTAGAGAAAGTGAGGGCAAGGGCAGAGAATAGATTCAAGAAATATTTGGAGATAGATACTTAATTCTAACAAAAACCTGGTGAGTCATCAGATGTTAGTTTTAGTCTTATGGAAGAGAAGTGCACAAAGTTGTAAGGTAAATGTGAAAACTTGTTCAGGACTTTTGACTTCAAGTATAGAGATCATCCCAAAACACCGTGTATCCTTCCCATGCAGCTAGGATAACGGTCTAGGTTAGTGGTCACCAACCTTTTGGACCTCGCAGACCACCGGTTGGTGACTGCTGCTCCAAAGGTTTCCTTAAACCAGCAGTCGCCAACCTTTTGGACTTCACGGACCACCAATGGTCCGCAGACCACTGGTTGGGATTGCTGGTCTAGGTCATGAATATCAGAACTGAGTCTGGGACGTAGGCAGTGGTGCTAAGTATTGAACATTTTACTCATAAAGAATGCTACAGATTGAGCAGGCTCTCTTTTTAATAATTCTCTAACATTTCTATTTTATTTAGGCTATTGTTTGGAAGCAATGAGTTTAAAACCCTTCACCTACCCGTTTCCAGAGACAAGATTTCTTCATTCAGGATCCAGTGTATATAAATTCAAAATCAGATATGGTGACAGCATCAGGTAAATTTAAAGCTAGGAGGGGGTAGCCTCTGTAAACCGGTTAGTGCATTTTCTCACAGATAATCCCTTCTTTGCCTTCACCCAGTCCAGGAGACTGGCTGAAGAAGCACGTTGTAGGTCTTTCCCAGGTATTTTATATTCCATATGTTACTACTCCTGTAAATTCCTAAATTAGTGATGGCATACCTTTGGGGCAATGGTTCTCAAATTTTTATCTCAGGACCCATTTTCACTCTTAAAATTATTGAGTATCTCAAAGTTTTTGATTATATGGGTTATAACTGTCAAAACTTATATGAAAATTAAAACAAAATTAAAATAACATACGTACTACTTTGAAAATATATATCATTAACTTTTAAAAATTGATTTAGAGAGAGAGGAATTGAAGGAGAGAGAGAGAGAGAAAGAGGAACATTGATTTGTTGTTCTACATATTTATGCATTCATTGGTTGCTTTCTCTGTGTGCCCTTACCGGGGATTGAACCTGCAACCTTGGCATATGGGGACAATGCTCTAACCAAGTGGGGCCTTATATCCTTTAATGTTAACAAATAACATTTTATTTAAAATAACTATCTTTAAAAAAATTTTTTTTTTTATTGATTTCAGAGAGGAAGTGAGAGGGAGAGAGAGATAGAAACATCCTTGATGAGAGGGAATCATTGATTGGCTGTCTCCTGCACGCCCCCTACTGGAGATTGAGTCCGCAATCCCAGCATGTGCCCAGATCAGGAATTGAACAGTGATGCTCAAGCACTGAGCCATACCAGCCAGGCTAAAATAACTCTATCTTTTAAAAAATTAATGAGAGCCCTAGCCAATTTGGCTCAGTGGATAGAGTGTCGGCCTGCGGACTGAAGGGTCCTAGGTTCGATTCCAGTCGAGGGCACATTCCTGGATTGCAGGCTTGGTCCAACGTACAGGAGGCAGCCAATTAATGATTCCCTTTCATCATTGATGTTTCTGTCTCTCCCTCTCCCTTCCTCTCTGAAACCAATAAAAATATATTTAAAAAATTAATGAGAAGGTTGACATTGTTTACATTCCTGGGATTTGTTCCAGAATACAAGGATGGTTCAACATACAAAAACCCATCACTATAATATGCCACATTAGGCTGCTCTCCCTCCCGAGAGTATGCCCATGCCTTTCTTCCCTCTCAGGCTTGCATTTTCTAAACTCTGTAAGAGTCCCCACAAGACTTGCAACCAGGGAAGCAATAGGCAGTGGCAGCTCATCCCGGGCTAACCCCCCCCCCTTTTTTTAATACTCACTCCATTGATTTTTAGAGAGAGTGGAAGAGAGAGGCAAAGACAGAGAGAAACATCAATATGAGAGAATGAGAGAAACATTGATTGGTTGCCTCTTGCACGTGCCCTGACCAGTTCCTGGGCTGGGGAGGAGCCTGCAACCCAGGTGACCGAAATCGAACCCAGGACCCCCAGGACCCTTTGGTCCATGAGCCAAACGGGCTAGAGCCTAGGCTAACCCCTTGAACCTGTCTCCAAGGCCCCCTTTTCTCTGACTTTCCAGTGAGCCAAAGCAGCCCTGCCTAGGCTCATTTTTTGTCTACAATATTTCTAGAGAGCCAAAGGAGCCCTGCCTAGCTCTCTCCTGTTGTTTCTTCTATCCTCTAACTTTCCAATGAGCCAAAGCATCCCTGCCTAGCTCTTTCCTGTTGCTTCTTCTATCCTAATTCCTTCCTTGTTTCACTGTCCCCAGCTTTAATAAACATATTCTCAAATATATATATATGTAAACACACACACACACACACACACACACACACACACACACACACCCCACATTAATATAATGAAGGAGGGAAAACCATATGATCATCTCAATTGATGCAGAAAAAGCATTTTTTCGTGATAAAAACAAACTAGGGATAGAGGTGAACTTCTTCAACATGATAAAGGCCATATATGAAAAACTCACATCTAACATCATAGTCAAATACTCTTCATACTTAAAGCTTTTCCCTTAAGATCAGAAATAAGTCAAGGATGCCCACTTTCACCACTTTTATTCAATATAGTACTAAAGTTCTAGTTAGAGCAATTAGTCAAAAATATAAAATGCATGCAAATTGGAAAGGAAGGAGTGAAACTATCTCCATTTGCAGACAATATGATCTTATATGTAGAAAACCCTGAAGAATCCACATAAAAAACTTAGAGCTAATCAATGAATTCAGCAAAGTTGCAGGATACAAAACCATGCAAAAATCAGTTTTATTTGTATACACTAGCAACAGACAATCTGAAAAGAAAATTAAGAAAATTATCCCATTTACAATAGCATTCAAAAAGAAAAATATAATTAGCAATAAATGTAACCAAGGAGATGTAAGACTTGAACACTAAAAGCTACAAAAAAACAACAACACCTGAAATAAATTGGAAACCCAAATAAATAAAATCTTGTGTTCATGGATTAGACAATATATAGTTAAGATGACAACAGTACTCAAAGCAATCTACAGATTCAGTGAAATCCTTATCAAAATCTCAGTGGCTTTTTTTTGAAGAAATGGAAAGCCCATTCTAAAATTCATATGGAATTTCAAGGGACCTCAAATAGCCAAAACAATCTTGAAAAATAGTAAAGTTGGAGGACTCGCACTTCCCAATTTATTTATTTATTTAAAAATATTTTTTATTGATTTCAGAGAGGAAGGGAGAGGGAGAGAGAGATAGAAACATCAATGATGAGGGAGAATCATTGTTCGGCTGCCTCCTGCACGCCCCCTGCTGGGGATCGAGCGTGCAACCCAGGCATGTGCCCTTGCCTGGAATTGAACCCAGGACCCTTCAGTTCACAGGCTGACTCTATCCACTGAGCCAAACCAGCTAGGGCACACTTCCCAATTTAAAAACTTACTATAGAGCTACAAGTAATAAAAAAAAAAAATGTGGCACTGACATAGGGACAGATATCCAGACAACAGAATAGAATTGAGAGCCAAGAAATAAACCCTTACATCAATGGTGAAGTTATTTTCTAATAGAAAGCCAGGACCATTCGAAGGGGGAAGAATAGTCTCTTTAACAAATTGTCTGAGAAGGCTTGATGTCCACATGCAGAAGAATGAACTTAGACCCTTATTTTATCCAAAATACAAAAGTTAACTAAAAATGGATCAAAGACCTAAATTTAAGGTAAAACTATAAAACGCTTAGACGAAAAAATAAGAGCAAATCAATATGATTTTAGATTTGACAATGGTTTATTAAATACAACACCTAGGCAACAAAGTAAATTAGATAAATGAGACTTACTAAATTTTAAAAAATTTTGCACCGAAGAACATCAACAGAGTGAAAAGGCAACCCACAGATGGGAGAAAATATTTGCAAATTATATATCCAGGCCCTGGTCAGTGTGGCTCAGTTGGAGCATCTCCCCATGCACTGGAAGGTCACGGGTTCGATTCCTGGTCAGGGCACATAGCTAGGTTGCTGGTTTGATCTGTTGGGACACATACAGGAGGCAACTAATCGATGAATCTTTTTCACATCCGTGTTTCTCTCTTTCTCACTTCCTCCCTCTCTAAAATCTAAAGAATAAATAAAATCATGTGTCCAGAATATATAAAGAACTACTACCCACAACAAATAGATGAACAATCCAATTAAAAAGAGAGCAAAGAACTTTGAATAGATATTTCTCCAAAGAAGATATACAAGTGACCCATAAGCACATGAAAAGATTTCTGTTATCATTACTCTCGAGGGAAATGCAAATTAAAACCAGACTTAAATACCACTTCACACTTACTAGAATGGCTATAATTTTTTAAAAGTATGTTTTTATTGCCCTGGCTGGTTTGGCTCAGTGGATAGAGCCTTGGCCTGCGGACTGAAGGGTTCTGGGTTCTATTCCAGTCAAGGGAACATTCCTGGGTTGTGGGCTCAATCCCCAGTAGGGGGCGTGCAGGAGGCAGCCAATCCAATGATTCTCATCATTGATGTTTCTGTCTCTCCCCTCTTCCTCTCCGAGATCAATAAAAAAAATATATTTTTTTAAAAGTACGTTTTTATTGATTTTAGAGTGAGAAGAAGGGAGAAGAAGAGATACATCAATGCGGTTACCTTTCAGTACATGGGATGGCATGGTGTTCAACAAAGTGAGCCACATCAGCCAGGGTTATAATTTAAAAATTTTAAAAAGGAAAATTACAATTGTTGCCAAGGATGTGGAGAAATTGGAATCCTCATGTATTGCTGGTGGAAATAAAATGGTGTAGCCATTTTGGGAAACAATTTGGCAGTTCCTCAAAAAGTTAAGCATATAGCCCGGCTTGCCGGCCAGCCGGCATGGCTTGGTAGTTGAGCATCGACCTATGAACCAGAAGGTCATGATTTGATTTCTGGTCAGGGCACATGCCCAGGTTGCGGGTTGGATCCCCAGTGTGGGACAGGATAGCTCAGTTGGTTAGAGCGTTGTCCTGATATGCCAAGGTTGTGGATTTGATCCCAGGTCAGGGCACATATAAAAAGCAAGAAATAAATGGACTTTTTAAACTGTTACATTAAAATTCATTGGTCATTCTTGTTCTTTGAATGAGTCTTTTACCTAGAATGATTTGTAAAATAATGTGTTTCATTGGTCATTTGGAAAGGTTCACTGACTTACGCAGATCATCCAAACGTCAACACATTTCATTATACAGGCATACCTCGGAAATACTGCGATTTGTGTCCAGATCACCACAATAAAGTGAGCCATGATATTTTTGCAGGTAGAGTTTTGCCTTGAATTTTCAAAAAAGGCAAGATCTGTAAAGCACAATAAAACAAAGCATAGTGAAACGAGATGTGCCTATATAATATCAAAATTATATTTGCCCGGCTGGCATGGCTCAGTGGTTGAGCATCGACCTATGAACCAGGAGGTCACAGTTCCATTCCTGGTCAGGCCACATGCCCAGGTTGTGGACTCTATTCCCAGTGTGGGGTGTGCATGAGGCAGCCAATCAATGATTGTCTCTCATCATTGATGTTTCTATCTCTCCCTCTCACTTCCTCTCTAAAATCAATAAAAATATATTTTAAAAAGTCATATTTAATATTACTACCAGTCTCATCAGAAAAATGTTTAAAGTACTTGGAACCTGCCAACCTCAGAGTGGTGGACAGAAGTTTTCCAAAGTGCAAATTTTTGCTTCAAATCCCAAAATTTATCATTGACAACAAGTACTATCAGTTGTCATTTGACCACAAATATTTGAGTTTATAAGCTCACTGTTCATTTTTGAGAAAATGTCATATTATCAAGTCTGCATAATAGCCATAGTTTGTGTCAACTGATCATTCAAAATACTGTTCCATGAAAAGAGCAGCTAGTTCAGTTTTCAGCTTAATTGCACAAGTGCTTTTACTTTAGACAGCTCTGATATTTCTGTAGGCAGAAGTGCTTTATGCATGCTTCCCACTTTATCACATAATATTAAAAAGACGTGATCAAGCGTTGAGATTTTAACAAATTATTACATTTTCATTGCTTTCTCAAGGATATTAAATTAAACTAGATTTTTTTTTTCTGTGTGGCAATAATGATTATTACAACTGCTAGTATGGTTAAGTGCAACTGGCTTGATTGATGCTAAGACACCAGCAATTTTGCTCACCATTGTTTTTGCACTAAAGATTACAAATGTTAGCACAGTGAAAAAGGCATGTAAATTTTAATATTATTATGAAAATGATGTTTGCCTTTGGAGACCCCTTGAAAGGGTCTTGAGAACCCCTGGGGGTCATCTGCCTACACATGAATACAAATGGCCTAACAGATTAGTAACTTTCACAGTGAGAATTTCAGGTCTTGGCAAGTTAGTGGAGAAGATATTTTGGTATATAGCCTTGTACTAATTCTCAGGCCACACCTCCTAGGTGATCACTTCCTCTCATGAGCACTGGGTCAGCACACACAATTGTTATTGAGTCATGTTTCTTTAGCTCAGTGGAAGTGTCATTTTTGCTTTACTGTCTATTGTCTCCAGAACTTTCCCTGGCTTATCTCTTGTTTTCTTATTTCTAGAGGGGAAGATATAGAAAATAAGGAAGTCATCGTCCAGGAGCTGGAGGTAGGGAAAGAAGCTGACAACTTCTGGGAAAGTTCTTCTTTAAGCCGACAATGTGTCCATGTCCAAATTTTAATTATTTCTCACCAACTGAGTCACAACCTCCACTTGATTACTTGGCTTCTCCCTGCCACATTTCCTCTGCAAAGAAATTTTACTGTTTTTTCCTGGGTAATTAAAGCCTGTATCCTTTCTCAGTTTTCCTAGTTGAAGTGTCAGCACTTTTGAGGCTGAGAGTTTTGTTTGAACCAGAGTTCCCAGCCATGGGCAGCTCTTTTGTGGCAGCTGGCACAGAGAAAGCTTCCGGAGAAATGGAAGGACCGCCGCCGTCCAGGGCTCTGGGAAACCTCACCATCCCAACCACTGCCTGGTCCTTGACGTCCAGGAAGTTCAATTGTAAATACAGAGACAAGGCTGCTGTGTCTTCATTTTAATTGGAAACATTTTCCATTGCTTTATTCCCACTTCATTTTCATTCCTTTTCTACCCAGCTCCTTTAGCTTTAGGTTTTCCCACAGGAAGACTAAGCAGGTGGACATTGTTATAAATTGGTAAAAGCACTGGGCAAGAGGTTAGAGTTCTGGGAACTGGTTCTGGATTCCAGTCCTGACTGAGCCACTAATTAGCTGTGTGACCCTCAGCAAATCATTTATCTCTCTGTCTTGATTGCCTCATTGATAAACTAAGAATTTTAAAGTAATTTATTTTCTTCTAACTTCCCAACTCAGTGATTTATGACTATTGTGGTTTATGAAGACATATGTGCCACATTTCAAAGAATTCAAATATAATTAAATACACAAACACAATACTCAATGAAACAAAAAATTTGAGTCATAGCCTTAAAGATACTTGTGGCTCTTTGGCTAAGTGTTGGAAGTTACATTAGGATCTTGCAGGACCTCAGAGACATTGTTATAAATAGCAATATAGGACGATGGCAGTTTTTTGCTTATTTTAATTGTGAGTAGAGCAGAATTTATTTCACTTTGCTTCAGTTAACGGGGCGGAGAAGAGCTCAAGGAAGCATAGTAAAGTGGAGAGAGCATAGACTTTAGAGCCGGTCAAACCTGGATTTGAATTCCAGTTCTGCCTCACAGCCTGATTTTGGGCAAGTGACCTACCTTCTCTGAATCTGTTTCCTTACCTGTCAGTGAGGTTGATAAATAATGCTTATTTTCAAGATTTTTGCAAGAATTAGAAATAGATATGTGCAATGCCTGTCACATAGTAGCTCAATAAATGGTAGCTAGAGAGCATTTATGTCTATTTATAATCATACTAGAGGCCCGGTGCATGAATTTGTGCACAGGTGGGGTCCCTCTGGGTAGCCTGCAGGGATCAGGCTAAAACCAGCAGTCCAACGCCGCCTGCAGCTCCTACCTGCTGCTCCCGCTCATCCTGGTTCCACTGTGCCTGCCGTGGGCTCGCACCCAAGCAGTCCTGATCGGGAGAGGCTTGCGCTGCCACAGCAGTACTCGCCAGCCATGAGCCCTGCATCTGGCGCCCTCCCAAAGGGAGTGGCCTGTAGGATCGGTCTGAAACTGGCTCTCCGACATCCCCTGAGGGGTCCCAGATTGCAAGAGGGCACAGGCCAGGCTGAGGGACCCACCAGTGCACGATTGGGCCAGGGAGGGACTGCGGGAGGGCTCCAGGATGTGTCTGGCCCATCTCGCTCAGTCCTGATCAGCTGGACTCCAGCAGCAAGCTAACCTACTGGTTGGAGCATCTACCCCCTGGTGGTCAGTGCACATCATAGCAAGCGGTTGAGTGGCCTTAGCATATCATTAGCATATTATGCTTTGATTGGTTGTTCAGTTGTTCTGCTGTTTGGTCTATTTGCATATTACCCTTTTATTATATAGGATTAGAGTTTTCAAAGTACTTTTTATGTGTTCTCTTTTGCTCTCACTTGTTTTGAGGCAGATGTTATCATTCTCTTTCATTCATTTAGGAAATATTTATTGATAGGCAGTATAGCCTAATTGTTAAGAGTGTAAGCTCTGGAACCCCACTGCCTGGATTCATATCTTGGCTTCACCATTACTAGTTATGTAACCTTGTTATTCAGAAAGTCATTTTACCTCTTTTTGTCTGTTTCCTCATCTATAAAATGGGGATAATAGAAGTGTCTATCTCAGAGTTTTTGAGTATTAAATTAATTAAAAGCATATCATTTTTCAGGATTCTATTCGTGTGGTCCTAGGAAATTTGGACAGTCTGCAGCCATTTGCTACAGAACACTTCGTTGTATTTCCCTGTATCCTTTCATTTCTGGATGGGAATGAGCTACAATTCACATTGTAGATTCAAATTGAAGCAATAAACCCATAGACAGTTTAGAAGGTAGGTCACGGAAAGGAGAAAAAGTCATCCCTAAAATAGTACTCAGGGATTCGTATTGACTTTCCTCATTCCTTAGCACCATTTCCCAGATAAAAGCAAATGGGAGAGAGTGTCCCACTTGAAATTCAAACATGGCGAAATCGTGTTGATCCCCTATCCATTTGTTTTGACACTGTACGTAGAGCTGAAATGGTTTAATGAAAACCTGTCAACTGGTAAGTAGAATGATGGCAGTGTGGGTGGTGGAGAAGAAAAAGGGGAAGGTTGAACTTGCATGGTTAGTAGTGTAAGCTGAAATGGCAAAATGGTCAGTCAGATTGGGCCCCAATACATACCACCCAGTGTAGAAGTCAGGAGCATGTGCTCCAAACCACACTGCCTAGTTCAAATCCTGGTGGCCTTGCCACTTAATCTGAGTGACCTTCGACAAATTTCCTTTTTTAAAAAAATAAATCCTCACCCAAGGATATGTTTTTTAAAATTAATTTTTAGATAAATTTCTTAATCTTTCTGTGCCTCCTTTGTGAAATGGTGAATAATAATAACAGTACCTATCTCATTGAGTTGTTAAAACCATAAAATATATAAATTTTGGAGGTTGGAAAGTAAGTACACAGTCTGACAGTAATCACTCAGTGAAGGAACCTATTATATGAATACTTTATTCCATTTTAGAGGTTTCAGTAACTTTCAACTTAGTAGTATCTTAAAGTAGTATCTCCTAATTTTTAATCTGAGTCATCACTATTTTTACTTATAATGGGACAAGTAGACACCTGCAAATTTGATTTGGAAAAGCATACAAAGGCCTTGCCTCAAAATATCTCCCCAATTAATTTGTCACTGGTGCCTGAAGTTCCACCTTTTGTTTCAGAGTCGGGGCCCCTTTTTAAGTGGCATATTGTTAGAATATAGTGTGACTCAAACTCTGAATTTTCAGCTTATAAATTATAATAGTTCTAAAATAGGGGAGGAGAGATATTTGAAGACTGTATTTCTAGGATAGGTGGTACCAGGCAGAAGGGAAAAGAGAATACACGGAGGTTTAGTCTAGGCTAGGACCAGTTCTGAGAAGCAAATGGTAGCCAGAAATCCAGGTGAATCAGTGTCTTGACCCATTATAACATTTAAATTTCCTGTTACAGGGAAACCAATAGATGACAGTCCCCTTGGATTGGTAAGTTTGCCTTTTGTATAGAAAGTGAAAATTGCCTTTATTGTTTCATGTTGTTGAAAATCCAAAAAAATCCTGCTCTAGTCCAGCCGGTGTGGCTCAGTGGTTGAGCATCAACCTGTGAACCAGAGATCATGGTTCCATTCCTGGTCACATGCCTGGGTAGTGGGCTTCGTCCCCAGTGGGGGGCATGCAGGAGGCAGCCGATCAATGATGTTCTCATCATTGATGTTTCTTTTTCTCTCTCCCTTTCCCTTTTTCTCTGAAATCAATAAAAATATATTTTTTGAATTGGTTCTTGGGGAAAAAAAAAATCCTGCTCTGGTCTCTTCCTGTTTTCCCTTGTTGCTGCCCAGGTCCAATCAGAATTGGATACGTGAGGTCATCTTTTCCCCTGTGGCTAACTTTCTAAGATTGTCCCTAACAGAATGTCTACCCTTACTTGCAAAGTTGACAAAATTGCCTTTGGCAACTTAAAGATGGGGAGTTCATTGTGCCCTCATGAACTGTGAGCAACTCTGAAATAGGAGGAATCACAGGCCTCTGATTCCTCTCTGAAGGTCCCTGCTGAGAGGAAGGCAGCAAGAGCCATGAAGAAGAAACGAAAGCGCATGGAATTGTCTGTCTCTCCCAGCAGACCAGGGCTGGACAGGTCAGTGGTGATGGGAGAGAGTCAAAATCCTGCATCCTTGTTAGGTCAGCTGTTGCTGTTGATTGTTCTTGACCTTACGCGAGTCACTCTCTCTCTCAGGGCTTCATTGGTATCTGCCTGTTCCAGTGGGTGGACTAAGGCAGCGGATGCCAACCGGTGGTCCGTGAGGTCCGAAAGGTTGGCAACCTCTGGACTAAGAAAAGGAAGCAAGTTAATATTTGCAGTGTAATTTGAACACAACCCCTTCCTCAGCAAAGTAGGATTCTTCTGTTCATTAAGACCAAGGCTGAGAAGAAATGCAATCAGATCTATACAGTTGTGTCCAATACATATTCAATGAGAACTTACTACCAGAAAACATAGTAAGAAGGCACAAGACTTAAAAATTCCCAGGATATTATACAAGAACATAGAACAAATAAAATGTAATTCTATTTTACCTAGTGAGCAGTAAGCTTTTAGAAATCTACCTTAAAAGATAGTCCAGCCCTAGCTGGTTTGGCTCAGTGGATAGCACGTTGGCCTACAGACTGAAGGGTCCTGGGTTCAATTCCAGTCAAGGGCACATGCCTGGGTTGCAGGTTCAATCCCCAGTGTGGGGGCGCAGGGGGCAGCCGATCAATTTCTCGCATCATTGATGTTTCTCTCTCTCTCCTCCCTCTCTGAAATCAATAAAAATACATTAAAAAAAAAAAAAAAAGGATAGTCCAGTCTAGCCCGGCCAGCGTGGCTCAGTGGTTGAGTGTCAATCTATGAACTAGGAGGTCACAGTTTGATTCCTGGTCAGGGCACATGCCCACGTAGTGGGCTCAATCGCCAGTAGGGGGCATGCGGGGGACAACCGATCAGTGATTCTCATTGATGTTTCTATCTGTTCCACTCCCTTCCTCTCTGAAATCAATAAAAATACATTTTTAAAAAACAGATTTTCAGAAAATTTCTATTAAAAAAAAGATAGTCCAGTCTAAAATATAAATGTCTATAAGAGGGTACCGGTTGTTGGGTGAGGTGCTGCGATATGTGTTATTAGGTGGAATATTGAGCACATTGCTAACATGTTGAAGTTGCTATTGAGGAGGCTACTTATTTTCTTTTTTTATTCTCTGTCAGGGACAAAATGAGTCAGTAAAACAATTCAGTCATTCTTATTGACACCCAGAGAAAGCTGCTGGAATAATCTTAGGTGTGGTTTGCTCTGCAGCACAAAGTGCTTTCAACCCAGGTTCACAGAGAGCAGCAGCTTTTTTCCTGGGACGGTGGGGGCCCCAAGACATACAGGAACAGTGAAGGTAGACCACGAGGGAGCTGACTTCTACACCCTCCTAGTGCACACAGCGGAGAAGAGTGGGAAACTCCTTTCCCAGCCAGGTGGAATGTGAGGGGACTTGGAGGTGTGAAGCTTTGTGTCTGTCCATTTGACTGAATTTTCTGTGGAACTGAAGCTTCATATCTTCCGTTTCTCTGGGTTTTGATGCACGATCAGGTATTTCAAAGTCTGATACCTGCTGTCAGTCCATTTACCTTTTCTCAACCACTAGATCCCTACATGTCTCAAATTGGGATTCTACAGTGAGTTAAAGCAGCACCCAAAGAGAAGTTGGCCACACAATTTATTCTGCAGGCCAAGAGTGGTATGAAAATAGCCAACCTGCTGAAATATTCATTTGAGCCACGTTTGCTTGAATGTGGTGATGTTGCTGCTGCCAGTAACATTTCCTGGGCTTTTTCCCCACCTCAGGGCCAAGATGAGGACTTCTAGCCAAGGTCCCAGCAAAAAGAAGTTCCTCATGGAAACCAGCAGGGTAAGCACTACAATGGAGGCTTCCAAGCTCTTGACTGTTCCTGCTCTGTTACAATCAAGTCAGGATTCCTGTTACCAGCACATCTCGGTCCTTAATACAGACTGAGTTGACTGAACTCATTCTCAGGTTTCACCATCTGCAGAACAACATTCAACCATTCTATCCTTGCCACAGCCTGTCTCAAAAGTGGCTGCATAACACTGTACACATCAGTGAATCCTTCTCTTCTCAGCTTCAAAAGCTGCTTCTTATACTTACAGCTGAAATAAGAAAAGAGGTCTGTTGAACTGAGGTAGGATCCGATAAAGAATTTTCTCTTTAGAAACCTTTTTGCCTTCTACATTGGGGCCTGAGTCTAGGAACATCTAGTTTTTACAGACAAGCTAGGCATAAGCACAGGACACTAGTAAGAGAAAACTTAATTAGAGCAGTGATGGGTTGGCCCTGATAGTATTTCATTTCATTTGTGATGTCTGTTCCCCACTTAGGTATTCATAATTCTGCTATGCCTCCATTTCAGGGCTTTTCTGTAGTAGTCTCTAAAATAGTACCCTTTTTCTTTTCCTTTTCTTTCAAAATAGCTGTTATTTAATGGCTTTTTCTTCTCTCTCTCCAAAGTAGCTCTGACCTTAAATATCCAAACACTCTTAACTCATCGCCCTTATCTTCCCAGGACTCCATGATATGATCAGTTAATCAGCAAACATTTATGCATCCATTCAGCAAACTAAGTCTACTATGTGCCAGGTACTAAGGATATCACAACTCACCTAAAAATGCCAACAGTGTAAGCTAGGCAGACCATTACTGATAGATACGCTATGTGCAGGAATAAAGGCACCACAAAGGATAACCTCACCCAGATTAGGTGGATGTGAAGGAGGGTTCCTAGAGTAGCTCAGAGTAGCTCAAAGAATTAAGGCCAAGAGGAGAGAATACAGTGCATTTGGTGACTCCAAGCCAGTGTCCCTGGAGCTTGGAGCAAGTGTGGTGCTGGGAGGTGTTACTGGAGAGTCAGCACTGGCTGGATCATGAAAGGCCTTAAGGCTGCCTTCAAGATGACAGGAATTCCCTAAAGCATTTTTAAGTAGAAAAGTAAAATGATTTTCATTCCTAAATGATTCTCTCCTGTTTGCAAGGCATTGTGTGAGATGTGGGGGCGCACCAAAACATGTAAAATTTGGTTTCTTTTAGGAGTTTATCATATAGTTGGAGGAAGAATGTACCCTTTGGGACTCAGACCTCTACCTGTGTGGGCAGGTGTGGGCTACAGGCCTCCTTGTGCCATGGCCAACTGGTCCCGCAGTGATTTTAGGTAGATGGTTGCCCTCTTCTCTCCTCCCATCCTTTAGAGAGGGAAGAAGAACTGAAAAAGTACAATAGGAGTACATGAAGCTTTGGCGAACAAAGATGCTTTATACAACCAAGATAATTACTGTTTAAGGAACATTCCCTGCACCGTCTCCCTTCTACCTTCCTATTCTTAGTTTGACAAATCATCTCCTTCAAGAACAGTACTCACAGTTTCTTATTCAACATAATTACCGTTTCAACCTGATACTGAGTTTAGAAAAAAACTCTGAGCAAGAAAGAAACCCAAAAGGCACATGTTTATTGACTTTGACTCAAAGCCCAAAGACAGTCCATTGTAGACCCTGTTCCCAGAGAGAGGATTTCTCCTAAATTAAAGTGATCACAGTGACTCTCAGTGTAAGTCACTTGAGCTGTAAAAAATTGAATTTGCTCCTATGGTCCAATGCTTAATATTTCTCTCCCCTTTGGGGGAAGTTAGGGTGTAAGATCACAGTGTGGATTATACACGTCTGAACACATTGAGAGCCTATGTGGGGAAAGCTTAAAAGAATACAACACATCTGAATAAGGTCTCTGTTCCATAAAAGGTGTTTTGGGGAGAAGGGCAGACTCATTCATTCCTTTTGTTACCCCAGTTCCAAGACTTAGAGACCAGAGGTTGCAAGGATAAAAAATGGGGGAGAGCCCAGACGGTGTGGCTCAGTGGTTGAGCGTCGACCTATGAACCAGGAGGTCACGGTTCAATTCCCAATCAGGGCACATGCCCAGGTTGTGGGCTCGATCCCCAATGTGGGGCATGCAGGAGGCAGCTGATCCATGATTCTCTCTCATCATTGATGTTTCTATCTCGCTCTCCCTTTTTTGAAATCAATAAAAAAAAATTTTAATTAAAAAAAATAAATGGGGGAGAACAGAAGTATGGTCCAGAGGTAAAACACATTGCCGTGTGTGTTGGTTGTTTTGTTTTGTTTTGTTTTTGCCATCTCTGCTTGAATTGCACTTCTAAGCAGATCTGGCCCTGAACATACGGAAGCAACCTTGTGTTTGGTTTTCAAAGTATTGTGTCCCATTGGATGTCCCAGATGATACCCTCAGTCTTATTTCGGCCCATAATGTTTTTCCCTCTCTTGACATTTGCCTAAGAAGACCTCTCTCAAGATTTCAAGAGAACAGAAAAGCTCAATTATCTTGTGAGGGGAAGTTCCCCTGGTTCAGAAGTAGGCTTTACCTCTGCCCTAGGGCCTTTGCCCTTCTGGTTCCCACTACCAACCTTACTAGATGCTTTCATTAGGGTCAGTGCATCAGGATTGAAGCCCCAAACCCATTAAAATTGTAAGAATCATCTGTTCAAGCTAGAAATCAGAGCTGGGCCCTCTGAATTCCCTATCAACCCTGTTTAGAAGAGGTAAGAGATGTCTTTTTCCTTCCCAGACTTTCCTTTCATTTTTATAGGAATACTAGAGGCCCAGTGCATGAATTCATGCACGAGTGGGGTCTCTTGGCCTGGCCAGCAATAGAGGCCTATGGTGGCTGGTGGCAGTGGGCACAGGAGGTTGGCTGTGGGAGTGCACTGACCACCAGGGGGCAGCTCCTGCATTGAGCGTCTGCCCCCTGGTGGTCAGTGCAACTCATAGCGGCTGGTCAACTGGTCATTCGGTCCTAACGGTTGCTTAGGCTTTTATATATATAGATGACTTAAGTAGCTGTCTATGTAGCCTGGAATTTGATGGTTTGTGGAAAAGCTTATATCAGAAATATCAGCTTATGCTTAGGATGGGGGCTATATTCTAACTTCCCTAGTCGCTTGCCATGCTTCTGCCTCCCAGACCTACTTGGATAGCATGCAGCCCTTGCTGTAGAATTCTTCACCAGCACTGCTTGGTAGTCAGGCCCTCAAGTTCCATAAAAGGTGTTTGGGGGAAAATAGGAAGGAAGGGCAAACCCATTCATTCCCTTTGTTACCCCTGGTGAGGGGAGTGGTCAGTTGGTAGAGATTCCCAAAGAAAACATGATCCAAGTTTCTGGCGCTCAGGTTGACTACTGGAAATATGGGTTTGGAACTAGGTTGTAGGATGTCAAAAGGAAGGTCTATAAAGGGAAAGCACAAGGAGAAATCATGAGATTGTGCTGTAGTGTGCTGATTGCTTATGCTGTGTTTATGTTTCCCCTGCCCAGCTCTAGCCATGCTGATCATATTTACCAGTACTCAATAATGGCACTGTGCCTTTGTATATCACATCCATTCTGGAACGGCCTGCTCTCTCTG